TTATTATTTTCTTATATGATTTCTACTGTAAAATAAATTCTCTGCTTTAAAAACGACTTTCCACTCAAAGCGGCTCTCACTCCACCTTTGCCAAGGGGCGTCGGACTTTCCACGCGAAACGAGATCTACCAAAATGAAAAGTTCAAAAACAAATAATAAAATAATAAAATTTCTTTTTTATTCTCCGAAATTGAGACTATGTGTTTTTTATTTCTCACATTGAGTAAAATATATGTATTAGATATACAACTTTGTTTCCATCGTTTTTCTATAGATGGCTTTAGCGGTAAGTGGTAGTCGAAATAGATCATAGACGTCATACAATAAACTTGGGTATCTGTCAACATAACCCCATAGAAACATTAGTCGATTTGTGTCTGCATCATAAAGTTATTCTCGATTGAAAATGTCAGTTTACGAGCCAAATTCTCGTCATTTGTGGGAGGTTTTAATTTTCTGCTTCAATATGAAGAAATCTGCAGCTGAGCCTCATCGAATGCTCTCAAATACTTATGGTGAGGCCGCTAATAGTGAAAGAACATATCGTGAGTGGTTTCAACGCTTCAAGAACGATGATTTTGACGTCGAAGACAGGCATAGCGGTGGAAGAGAAAAGGTTTTCGAAGATGCAGAATTGGAGACATTACTTGATCAAGACTCGTGTTAAAATCAAGAAGAATTGGCACGATCATTGGGAGTGACTCAACAAGCCATTTCAAAACGCCTCAAAGTCATGAGAATGATTCAGAAGCAAGGAAATTGGGTGCCGTACGAGTTGAAGCCGAGAGATGTTGAACGACGTTTGTTTGCTTGTGAACAGTTCATGGGGAGTTCCCGGCCATGCTTCCACGTCGATGGCCAAACCGAATATTCACGACTCCAAGGTCATGCTCTGCATTTGGTGGGACCAGCTCGGCATAGTGTATTATGAGCTGTTAAAATCGACTGAAATAATCACAGACGATCAGTATCGAACGCAATTGATGCGTTTGAGCCGAGCATTGAAAGACAAACGGCCGCAATACAACGAGAGACACGATAAAGTGATTTTGCAGCATGACAATGCTCGACCCCATGTTGCAAAAGTGGTAAAGACATACTTGGAAATGGGAAGTCCTACCCTACCCGCCGTATTCTCCAGACGTTGCTCTCTCTGACTATCACTTGTTTCGATCAATGACACACGGCCTGGCTGACCAGCACTTCCGGTCTTATGAAGAAGTAAAAAATTGGATCGATTCGTGAATCGCCTCAAAAGATGACCAGTTTTTTCGACGCGAGATTCGTACGTTGCCCGAAAGATGGGAGAAAGTAGTGCCCAGCGATGGACAATACTTTGAATCATAAATGTATAACCAGTTTTTTATAATAAAGCCTGGAATTTCGAAAAAAAAAAACGGCGGAAGCAAAATTGTACACCTAATACAAAATTTCAAGTTAATCGTGAGCAGGAGTCATTCGGAACTATATCCAACATTTCTTTTACTATATCAGGACTGAGCAATATCAGACTAAGCAGTATCAGGCTGCTCCTCGCTCTGATGAAGTGGACTGCAAGGCTCACGAAACGTTGGCATTTCAAGAATGGATCTAGACACGGAGAACACCCGCGAAACACACAACAGTTATAACATGTGTGAATTTTAATAGAATTTTTTAAGCACTTTAAGAGTCTTTAAATTAGGTCGGACACAAATGTGTTGTTTAAAGGTATTGAAAATAAGTGTGCTGTTTAAAAGTTAATAACACCATATACGTTTCGACCAAGATTTAGATTGTCATTAGTATATAAAAGAAAGCCCCCTATTATGGGACAGGCGCCTAATATGAAATATCGGCGTTTCTGCTAAACTAATAAACGCTATCTATTGGTTCCACCATGAATTTATTGCTCTTGGATTGAAAACTATTTAATAGAAAATTCATTATTAGATCATGCTTGTAGTCATTGTAAAACAAGATTTTAGAATTTGGAATTGTCTTCAAAGTTCATTGAGATGTATATTTAAACCTTGTTTATTATTTAATAAATAAATATTTGGCAATAAATTATTCATGTAGTAATAGAGTATACTCATAGAAAGTCATACTCATAGAAAAATACGGGATATGTTGAATTGTTTAATTACAGAAGTTAGATTTGATGATCGTAAAACCATAAGGGGTGAAAATCGTAATACAGTTGTCGTCATGAATTGGACGGGCGAGCATCGTATCTTCGTTATCGAAACATTTATGAAAAGTAACGAATCTGTGATTACGACGCAAAGAACTTTTCGTACTCACTTCGCGCTTGGTAGACATGCTCCAGTTCCAGATCGCAAAACAATACTGTTGTGGGTTTCAAATTTTAGAGCTACAGGTTCAGCTTTAAAAAGAAAATCAACTGGTAGACCCAGAAGTGTTCGGACACCTGAAAATGTTGCAGCTGTAAGAGAAGCAGTTGAACGATCTCCTAGCCGTTCAGCTGTTAAACATGCCTCTGCTTTGCGTTTGTCAGATCGTTCTGTGAGAAGAATTTTACACGCCGATCTGAAGTTCCACCCATATAAAATGATGATCGTGCAAGAACTTAGTGAACGGGAAAATCGCAGAGCATGCTCCAACGATATTCTTCAAAACATCCCACAAAATGCTCTTTTAATAACGAGTGACGAAGCTCATTTCCATCTGTCTGGCTGTGTGAATAAACAGAATTTTCGCTACTGGACACCAGAGAATCCGCGGCAGCTTCATGAAAGGCCACTTCACAGCCCATTTGTTACCGTTTGGTGTGCTGTTGGCGTTTGGGGTCCCTATTTTTTTGAAGAGGGAGGCGTGACGGTTACCGTAACTGCCGATCGATATGTCGACATGCTACGCAATTTTTTGGAACCAAAACTTAGAGAACTTGAACATTCGGATGTGTGGTTTCAACAGGATGGAGCTACGGCTCATACGGCAAGAAGGACAATGGACGTTTTAAGGGAAATGTTTCCAGGACGCGTAATCTCGTTACGTGGAGACGTTGGGTAGCCTGCGCGTTCACCCGATCTTGCCCCATGCGACTTTTTCCTTTGGGGCTACCTGAAAGCGAAGGTTTTTCAACACCACCCCCGAACCATTGACAAATTGAAAGCAGCAATACGCCAAGAAATTACAGGAATATCGCCTCAAATTATTGCTCGAGTGATGGAAACTTTTAGAAATCAGCTTCGAATGTGTATCGAAAAAAATGGTCGCCACTTGGACTCTGTAATTTTCAAAACTCAATAAAAACAAATGACATAGCATAAATTTTCAGTTAATAAAAATAAAATCTAAATAGCATTTACAATGGCGTTTTTATTAAAGATTAAAATGTGGGAGATCATTTTGCCGGACCCTGTATAAGATACCCAGGATATTCCTAATACGAAATAACTCATGCTCCTATGTATAGTGAAAATCATTGCTAAAGTATAAATGTTATTGTACAAATATAATATATTGTACAATACAAATAAAATATATTATACAATAATAAAAAAAAAGACAACCAGAATGAACGAGTGCCTATCGGCGATGATTGATTCTAACTATCTGAAAATAAGTTCTGAGTATAATAGGTGTATCGCATGCTCATTTTTCGCGTACGCTGGCTATGTTTGTTTGTATTTTAGAAACATTAAATAAAGTTTTTTAATTACAATACTGATATACTTTGCGTTTTACTCGCGATTTCTCGGGGCGTCAATATTAGAAGCATAATTTTTTATAATAACTTTGCGATTGCTCACTTTTTACATTTCTTTAATTAATAAAAAATGGAATTTCAATTAAATTTTATGTAAAGTTATCTTAAAGCTTATTAAATTCCCTTCAAAATGATCTATTTTATTTTTTTTTATTTTTTTTAATTCTGCTTATAGAACTCGATATCTCATAATATAGGGGCCTTTCTTCTAATAATTAATGAAATTCAATTGATGCATAATCAGGGCATGTATTTGAAATACTTTTATTTAAAAAACAGTATTGATAAGACAATTATATTTTGTATTTTGTGTTTGTTCGGAGTACAAAATACTTTGTATTTTGTATTTCATGGGAATATGTAAAAGTATTTTGTATTTTATATTTCAGTATTAATAACAAAAGATTATGAAAGTCTTTCAAGTCTAAATACTAACATTGATAACCAACCTTATTATTTGAATTACAAGTTACAAGATATACAAAAAGCTTTCAATCTTTTAAATACATTTTAAATACAAAATACGTAATACTTTTATGTGATCCGCTAAAATAAAAAATACAAAATACGCTTGTATTGCAAATAGTGTGTTTTAAATAAAAGTATTTCAAATACATACCCAGCCCTGTGCATAATACATAATAAACTTAATCAAACTAATGATCTGCATCGATAAATTAAATAAAATTCGTAGTATAATTTTTACAAAAAGTTGAATTGTTAAAATCTTGTTTTTATATGTGGCACATTGTCCTGCGTATACTTTGTCCAAAACACCGTCACAAAACACCAAATTGTCAAGTTTACTAAATCCCTATTGAAAAAAATCACGTTACAAAATTATAATACATAATAAAATCATGTAATTTACAAATAAATCACATAGCAGGTTATTCTAAATCAATATATTTTTACAATCACATAATTTGAAAAGTTATATGTTTTTTTTCTATTTCTATCATTTAAAATTTGGTAACTATAAAGTCACATGGCGACTGAAATTATTTCTATCATATGATTTTTCAAATTACTTATTTAAAAAATCACATATTGATTTGGAATAATCTTTTATGTAATTTATTTGTCTTAAATACATGATTTCGTTATGTAACTTTGTGACGTGATTTTTTTCAGTAAGGAAACACAATATTACAAGTAAATGAAAAGAAAACCATCACAAAAGAACTTATGAAATAGCTATATTAAAAATTCTGTTGAGATACTATCAGTTCGCAAGGGATAGAATGAATGTTAGTTATGTAAAAAAAAACATATATATTTATACCTGCACTTTGAGCCTTTGCAATTTCTTGTTCTAATCTCATCTGTTTGTGTTTACACAATCCAGTTATGTGTCTTCCATATATCCTGCCTGTATATCGACTTTGAAATTGAGAAAGTAACCTTACATTTTTATAATCTGGTTCAATGTTTAATCTACAAAGAATACACTCTTGCTTTTCTTTCACATAAGGATTTTCAATTTGGATTGGCTACAAATAAAAAAGATACAAATGTCATATATAATACATATAAAAACATTCAAAACAGATAAGGGTAATTATATAAAGGGCTTACTCACCGGATTTGGAGGAAATTAATCTCATATGATTTTTGTATGAAATAAACGAACCTGACAGAAAGAAAGTGTCGCTTTGATTCGCGAACCGAGATATTAAGAGAGATATTATTAATTTTACAATGTGCTTTTTGTTTTCTGTTTCTTGTTTGTCTAAAAGTCTGTTTTTTGTCTGATTTAATGTATACTTTTGGAACTTAAAATGAGATACATTTGATATACATTTGATATTTGTCTAAAGCAAGAGAGTTCTAGAACAGTTTAGTACAGGAACAGGAAACAGATCATAAGTGTTAAAGCTGATGACTGTTCAGATTAGGAAATCTCACAATGATGATACAAAGGGACGCAAGAGTTGTGAGGCTGGAATAAATATTTTCTAATTCAAAAAATTATATAAATTCTGTGCTTTAAAAATAAAAATTCTTTGTTATAAAAACAAATTTTCTATATAATTTTTGTTTTACAGCAAAGAATTTGCTTGGTTAGTTATTTGTCTGCTTTAAAAATACATTTTCTGTTTTAAAATAACAAATTCTTTGATTTAAAAACAAATTCTTTATTGTAAAAACGAAAATTATATAGAAAATAATTTGTTTTTAAAGCAGAAAATTTCTATTTTTAACATAAAAAAAGAAGCATGAAACCACAGCACTGGATAATGTTTGTGAAATTTAATTATTCATTACATTAATAAAAAATTTTTAGACGTTTCGGCCACAATCTGGCCATCTTCAGTAAATCATAAATATTAGTAAAACGCAGAATTTACATATATCTGATTTACATTGAATTCAGTCATCGTATAATATAAGTATGTCTAAATGTGTTCTTTCATCTTATTAAGGCATCGTACAACAATGTTACAACGCCAATTATCATGTTACAAGTTATGTACAGAACAAGAATTTCCAAATTCTAATTTAAAAATTAAACTATCATTAATAACTTTTAGTCAATTTTATGAGGATTGAATCATTACCTGTTTTACAGACAAAATGATGAATCTTAAGCACTTCCCTCACGCAGATGGAAATTTCTCGTGACATTGTGTATTGTTATTCGTTATACCATATGTGTTACTATTATATATGTGTCAAAAGTTTAGATTGTTCTAGAATTATTTATTAAGTGTGAGAGAGATCTTTCTTTAGAAAAGGCAGATAAATCATATCAGGCAACTGACACTTTCAGTGTCACTTTGCTTATTAATACTTATTTGGTTTTTTATGTATATCATTTCAGAAATTCTTCTTTTAAATAATGATTGTTCCGTATCTAAAATTCTAATATTATCTAATTCGTGCATCTCATTCAATTGGTGACGTGAAACCACATCTCAGAGGTGGATCTTCTTATGTCAACCTTATGTTCTTTTCGAGTTTTTAATTTCCTTTTTTTCACAATCTAGACAATTTATCTCATAAATCACTCCACAATGGTCCTCTTTACACAAACGATCTTTTCTCGTTTTAATAAATTTATTCAATTTGTTTATAGGTTTGTAAGCAATATTAAAGACTATATTACACCCCTTTTATGCACTAATGATGATTCGAATAATAATTCAAATATCTCCCTGAATTAATAGGTTTTTTATAAACATCAAAGATGATTCTTCCTTCTTGTCTCATTAGTTTAACACATAAAAAATTAATCCCATTTTCATCAAAGTCAACTGTAAACCTTAGTCTTTCATGATACGAATTAACCTCTGAGATGTCAGTAGTTTCACGCCACCAATTGAATGAGATGCATTGAATTGGATTGGGATAATATTAGAATTTTAGAATACGGAACAATCATTATTTAAAAGAATTTCTGAAATGATATACATAAAAAGCCAAATAAGTAGTATTAATAAGCAAAGTGACACAAGTTTGCCTGTTGTTTATCTGCCTTTTCTCTCTCACACTTAATAATTCTAGAACAATCTAAATTTTTGACATATATATAAATAGCAATAACACATATGATATAACGAATAACAATACACAATGTCACGAGAAATTTCTGCGTGAGGGAAGTGCTTAAGATTAATCATTTTTGTGAAACAGGTAATGATTCAATTCTCATAAAATTGACTAGAAGTTATTAATGAATAGTTTAATTTTTAAATTAGAATTTGGAAATTCTTGTTCTGTACATAACTTGTAACATGATAATTGGCGTTGTAACATTGTTGTACGATGCCTTAATAAGATGAAAGAACACATTTAGACATACTTATATTATACGATGACTGAATTCAATGTAAATCAGATATATGTAAATTCTGCGTTTTACTAATATTTGTGATTTACTGAAGATGGCCAGATTGTGGCCGAAACGTTTAAAGATTTTTTATTAATGTAATGAATAATTAAATTTCACAAACAATATTCAGTGCTATGGTTGGAGTGCCATGTTCCTTTTTTTATATTTGATTTAGAAACCATGTTCGTTAGAATTATTTATTTCTATTTTTAAAGCAAAGAATTCGTGTTTTTAAAGCAGAGAATTTGTTTTTAAAATAGAGTATTTGTGTAATCCTCTATGCCATCAATGTGACAGATTTCCTAACCTGAATAGTCGTCAACTTTAATGCTTAATATCTCGGTTTGCGGGGCAGAACGACATTTTTCTGCCAGCTTCATTCATTTCATACAAAAACGCATCAAATGAATCTAATTTCATTAAAAGATAAACATGCAATAAATTTTTTACTGAAATATATTACTTTATAATTATTTTAATTTTTAATTCGACATGATGTTTCAAAAAATCTATAGTTAACCTCACATAATCAATTTTTAGTTGTCAATACGTGCCCTTACCAAGTCATTTTCTTTCATCACGTTAATATTTATAGATTTATCGGAACTTTTACTAATAGTTCGAAAATATGATTTGCCGGCACACGTTATTGGAACTCTTTGCAAAACAGAAGCAAAAATCATTTCGTGATTATTCAAAACCGATTTATTTATATATATAATAAATTCTTCCAATATAATTCTTCTTCTCTAAATCCCGTTTAATTCCGTTGGATAAATTGGATTTCCTTCTTTTTCTTCTTTTTTTATTTAATGGCTTCTGCAGGCAGATGACCAGTATCCAATGTAGCGATCATAGACTTGTAGATAGAAAGAGCGTCCCATGGTTGAATTAGCCCGAATCTTTATAACAGCGCTTTGACATCGAACGCTGATTGGTGAAAAACGAATGATGGAGGTAAATTTTACCCCCATAAGTTTTTCATCAATCAGCGCTCTGTATCAAAGCACTGTTGCTCATATGAGAATCCGGGCGTATGAGAATATTGGCTTCTGCACACTGGACGGCTAGACGCGAAAACGCTTGCCGCGTGACAAAAAAGACGCGGTAACCAATGAATATTAGGAGCTATAATCTTATTGGCTACTGCATCACATTTTGCCGCGCGGTAAACGTTTCCGCGTCCAGTGTGCAAGAGCCATATATTTTTAAGTCGGCCTCACCTTAAGTTTGTTCGTGTCGTATGCTCCAACATGCCCAACACGCTCCAATATGTTCGTGTCACCGGAACCAATATGGCGACTAGATGTTCGCGTTGAACATACTCCATAGATCAATTAAGAGCACGCTCCATTTGCCTCATTTCAGAAAAGTAGTATGATTGGGGTATGTACGCACGCATGCGTAATGGTTGAAAACGTACTGTATCAAAAAAAGTATTTCAGATTCATTTTATATAAAAACGCATTTAATAAATTTTTGATATAAATATAAAAATATAATATAACAATATAATATAATATTAATAAAATAAAATAATAAAATAATAAAATAAAATAAAAAAATGCATTTGATAAATGCGTTTTTGATATAAATATAAAAATATAATATAACAATGTAATATACAATAATATTAATAAAATAAAATAATAAAATAAAACATAAAATAAAATTAATAAAATAAGAAGAATAAATAAATGAAATAAATAAATAAAATAAATAAAATTAGAAAAATTAAAAAAATAAAATAAAATAATATTAATACAATAAAATATAATATAATATAAAAATATAATATAACTTTTATATTTATTAAAAACGCATTTATTTTGTATAAAAACGCTTTTCAAATAATCGAAGTAACACAAAATATCCGAAACGAAACAAGACACATCCGATCCGTTCGAGTAGTCTCACGGATTAGGTTAGGTGACTATCTCACTTGTCCTAAATCCGTTTTATTACTGAACATTGGAGCACATGAATGCAACTGTTCCAACCGCCACCTCTGTGATCCAAGTGCTCTCTGGGTTAATTTGGAGTATACGACGCGAACAAATCTCTTGCAATGCTTCCGGCACACCAATACGATGTTCGTCGCGCGTGACACGCGATATGAGTATACAGCTTTACCGATGTTTTCATTCTAAAGATATATTCTCATTGGATATTGCGTGTCGCGCGCGAACATCGCGCTGGTGTGCCGGAACCATAAAACTTCTAGAAATTATATAATACTACTTCCGCGCGACAAAAGTTGAACTGCAATTGAAGAAATATGAATAAATGTATGGTGATGGAATCAAAAGCTGATTGCTTGACACGACCGAAACAAAGAAACTAAAGTAACTAACATACTGTCTGAAATTTTAATAGTAATCCTGTAAAGGATCAAACTTTTCTAAAATTATGGCACTTTGACATTTGTGGGATCATTTCTATATTAAATCGAGAATTTTTCGAATTTATATCCTCGTATAAATCAACATATCAATAATAACTGTGTATTAGAGTCTACAATAAAAATAGCATGTTTCATTTAAAAAATATAGACCTTGATCAGATCCTGCAGACATCACCCAAGATCAAATTGAATATCAATAAATAGCTTCTTTGAAACCTCACAATTTTTGTCTGAAGCATTTCTTCTAAAAATGTTATTGGCCTTATAGCACAAGCATGACCGTAATTGAATCGTAGAACGTGAATCAGGTCAACGCATATAGTCACGCATTATATTTTAGCATTACTATATATGCTAATACAAGTACAATTCACATGATTTACATTCCTTCATGATTAGTTACAGTCACTTTTATGTTCAGCTCATAAATCCGGGGTCTTTTTGAACACGCTATATAATATATATGTTATACATATATATAACATACATTACACAATCAATAGTCATATGCATAATTTTCATACGACGTTGTACGTTTATGAAATAAGTATATAAGTATATCATATGCAAAGTGTTTTAGTAAATGTATACACTTATAGGTCAATATACACGTTGACTAACAGCAAGTTACAACAAATATATTTTACTAAATGAACACTCTGACTGTGACATAGATATATCATCGAATGCAAACATGTATTTGAAATCATGTATGCACGTGTAATGTAATAGCACTTTTTCCTTTGTTCGCAATGCCATTTTAACTTACGATGTAACATGTATTGTCAGTACATAAATACATTGCACATACATATGTAGTTATTTCATCTCTTTTTATTATGTTTAATGGATCTTTTACAATAATGAGCCATAAATCAGTCATAAATTAGAAGTCAGATGCAAAAATTGATAACTGTGATTGATCAATTTTTGACTTCTGACTTCTGATTTATGACTAATGGCTTATTATAGAAGGCCCATAATAAGAAGAGACAGAAGTTACTCATACTTAGCTTTTCATGATATGATATAAACACAATAGTGAATATTAGAATTATATTTTACATGCATTATGATGTACACACATTACAAAACATAAAATATATTTCTAATTCATATTCACATATGTGTGCAGTTACTTCATCTCTTTTTGTTACGTATAATAAAAGGTGTGTGATTTTCTTTCTTTTACTACATCTTTTCTCTACGTTTAATAAAAAGAGATATGTTTTTTATGGTCAAATATATGGATATTAGTGATCTATGCTTTTATATTTTCAATATCAGAATATACATACAACATAAATCAAAGCTAATGAGAGTTAAACGCAGATGATTAGATGTAACATCTTACAAAAAATAATCAAATTACGAATTCTCTGATAAATAATATCTTCTTTACTTTGTACATTTCAACTCACTTTGGAGTCCTCTTCAGCAATACAGATATGTTACGAAAAACTCATAAATACAAAAAGATCGTCATTCGCAAATTGCCAGAGATAAAATGATGTAAAATTTTAGTAGATAGAGAGCGTGCCAAGAAGCTTTGATACATAATTGATCACAAAATTACATTTATGTAAATCTATCTATTAAAATTTTACATCACTTCATCTTTGATTGACAATTTGTGAGTAACATAATCTTTTTGGATACGTGAGTTTTTTCATTATATATCTACATTGCCTCATTAGCTTTGATTTATGTTAGTTATATATATATTTTATAGCTTTAAAGTCCCCTATATAATAATTGTTTTTTTCAATATTAGACTATTGCATGTATGTGTATTATTATGTGTGAGTATCTACATAAATTAGAGCTAGAAGTAATTTATACTGAGGTATTCATGCAAATATTTTCTATGTTTATTTATACAAAACATTGCAATTAAATTTTATGTATACATATATACATATTATATTATATATGTAAACATGCAATTTTAATATTGCATATTTAAACATAGGGAATGCATAAATAGCTTAGTATTAATAATTTCTATCTGTAACGTGTGTTTATTCACACATTATAATATACATATATATTACAATATTGTATAATATTACCTATATGTGTATTATATTTAAGTACACACATCTGTATCATTAATATCTGTATATTTTAACATGAGTAATTTCTACATCTTTTCATTAACGCAAAAAATGGAGTATAATACATATAAAATATAATTATAATTTATATTCACTAATGTTTTTTTATATATTGTTATAACAATGTTAGAATTATAAATGTTTGTGAATACACACATTATACTATGTATGTACATAAAATTCTAATATTGCGCATAAATAGATAATATCTGCATGATTATTTCAACATGAGTAATTTTATCTGTTTATATAATGCATACATGTGTGTATGTGTGTGTGTATTCACATCATACAATTTTTTATATTGGATATATAAGTCGACATGTTAATGTAAATATTATAAGTATCTATCTCTTTTTATTGAACAGAATAAAAAAAGAGTTACATTATGTATGTGCAATGTCGTATTCATTTATTGATAATATTATTGTTATTTAAAAAATGGCATTGGACGTAAGGAAAAAGTGCTATTACGGCTTCATATCGATATAACTATTAAAGTTAAAAATCTGTACTTTATGTATATTACAAATTTTTAGTACTGATGATATATATTGGAACGCGGTCTACATTGCATGTGTACATAATACAATTGTATTTCTAAGGCCTCCACAAATATAAGATTACCTTCAATTCCGGTTTATTTTTCTCTCAATTCTAAAATTGGACAATTTTCCAAAATAAAATAAATCTTACATATGTGGAACCGAGCCTAATACATGTTTTAGTCCCTGCTAAGATGATAATATAGGAAACGGAAAAAAAATATCGATAATTAATCGATCGAATTTCCTGCATGATCATATTAACTCAGAGAGTGTAAGCATCTTATACATTGGAAATGAAAACCTGTAATATTGATCTTTATTAAGTTCAGCCTTCGCTCCAGCATCCCCTTAATTTGCTCAGCGAAGAAGGCAGTTTTGCAATTGTTATAAAATTCTTTAATATATGATTGATTTATATATAATATTTGAAGAATTAAGGATAAGAAATTATATTCTTTTCCTTAATTCTTCTTCGAAATTATTTTCTTTTTTTCAATTATATTTCAAAAATAATTTTACATTAATTGCAATTTTACTGAACGCAAGAATTAAAAATTGAATATTGCACGTTTATCTTTTAATAAAATTTAATCGAATAAACCACTGATGCCAAATCCAACGGAAATAATTTTATGAAATAAATGTATGAATTTAATATTATTAAGAAATCAGTTCGAAACTCGACGATCAGCTAGAGAAACTCGCGATATTTAGTTTTGCGTAATCGAAATTGGCGCGGCCAGCGAGTTAGCGCAGCCTCTTATGCGTCAAATCGCGATGTCCGCGGAGTTGCGAGCGTTACCTAAAAAATTTATGTACCAAATAGAAACGATCTAGAATGTTCAATGAGATTAAAAAGGAAATTTATAAAATTTCACCGTTGGGTTTATCGAACATTTTAAAACGTCCTACATATAAAACAATAGTCTTCTGCCGAGGCTCTTTGTTCTCGATACGTTCGTGGTGAAAGTGCGTTATCCGCTCGGCTTCTTCGATTTCTGTTATGCGATTTCTTGATGAACGATCATATCGCCGTTATTGCTGAAAATTTAGAGCTTAGTGAGTTTTGTATATTACCAAAGTAATTGTAAAAATAAAAGTAACTTTTTGATATATATAAAATTTATCATGATTCGTGCGTCTCTCCTTACCAGTAACGTTCCTAAACAAATATACATTCATTGTATAGAAAATTTATTATATAATAATAGAAAATTTATTATTATTTATTATTAATTTCCTACATTACCATCTTAGCAGGGACGTGTATTAGGATCGGTTCCACAAATGTAAAATTTATTTTGGAAAGTTTTCCAATTTTAGAATTGAGAAAAAAATAAACCGTAATTGAAGTTAATCTTATATTT